AGAGTAGGGTAGATGGTTGGACTCGATGATCCCAAGGGTCTCTTCCAACCTGAACAATTCTATGATTATTATAGACAGCACCTTCTTCAGATCCAAAAAAGCAAAGACAACCTGCCTCAACCCAAAGCACCATGGAAGACATTTGGGAGAAGACTTGAAAGGTGCAAACTGCAGTAGAAGCTGGTGTCCTGCTGGATGAAGTTCCTCATTTCCATCTCAGGTTTGGTCCCAGCTTCTACCTTCTACCCTTGTGGCTTATCCTCAGCATAAATGGTGCATTTACCATCACAAGGAGAAGACAGTCAGTCAAACTTATTGCCACTGAAGAAAAGACAACTAGATTTCTGTAAGAAGAATAAAAAAGATGGAAGACCAAAGACAATAGACACTTGCTCATAAAGCCATCAGAGAAGTTTCACATATTAACGTGCAGAATTTACAGAGAACCCCATCTGACATTTTGGGGTGTCAGACGATTCCTCTACCCATGAGGACAAGACCCTTTCAAACCAACAGACATCAAGCGAGGGCTGGAGCTCTCAATTCCCAGCACATTGCTGCCATGGCCCTGATGCTGTCCTGATGGGAGTCCAGAAGGACAGAAACTGATCTGGAGCCTGAATAATTCATTTCAAAAGAGACTTTGAAAAGAAACTGATTGATTAACTGTGATTAACTGAACTCCTGCTAAGAGAAAGGGTTTTCAGAGAGCACCCTGATGGGAATGGACATTTAGCACTGCGAAAAGCGGGCACGACTGGATGACATTTAGGCAAGGGAAGGCAGAAGGAGTCGTGCAGAAGAGCCTTTCTAGCAGCAAATAAAAGCTCATGGGGGAACAGGATGACACCAAAGGGACACCGCTTGGAGGAACGCTACCACTGCAGACAAATGGTCAGCCAGTGTGAAACCAGTATCTCCCCTGTAGTGCAAAAAGCCACACTTCATCTAGGTACAGATGCCCAGGATGGTTTCTGATTTTCTCTTGCTACTTAAAATGCAAGGACCATTTCCCCTCTTCCAGTGTTTCAAAACAAATTTTATGAGCCATATGGCCTTCTGTCCCTCACTTTTTTCATCCACAGAACAAGGAAAGCAGTTGAGTCGCACTCACACAGACCCTACAAATGCTGGTCTTGAAGATCCTAAAGGGACAAGAGGAGACAGGGTGTGTGGATACACAGAAGAAAGCAGGCTCTGGAGTGCAAAGGAAGATCATTGTCCCTATTTGAGGAGCAGGCTGCATGCACCGATGGGAAGCACACACACTTACAGCTTTCCTGGGAAACTCTCCATTTCACCATCTTTTGCCCCATACACCATAACGCCACAACCTCAACAAATCCCTTATTTCAGGACAACAGGCATCTTCAGCCACCCCATGGATCTCCTTTGCTGGCTTTTGCCAGAAGAGCACTCAGGTGTACTTGTGTATTCCTAGTACAAAAGTGTTGGACGTGCAAATGCAATATTACAGATCCAGTCCCACCAGATGGGTGAAGCAACCAGTATCAGGCTCCATCAGTCTGTCTGCACAGCAAATCACATTTGTCTTGCTTCAGGAGATTTGAAGGCAAATACTGCATTGCTTTTTATCATCTCCAGTCCCACTACATCTAGTTTCACCTCAGGTCCCAAACTCCCAGGCTCTGCAGACTTTTTGATCTTGACATTGCCCAAAGGAGGATGTCTGTGTCCTACAGCCCAGTCTCCAGACTCTTCCCTGGGCTATTTCCTCCTCTCCAGCTCCACCGGGCCATTTCTCCAAACTAAATCTCCACGCAGTTGGGCTCAAAAGCAAAATCATAGCAAGCAGTCCTGTGAAATGACACTCTATTAGACAAAATGCTTAATTTACTTATTTTTTTCTTTTTTTTTTCTTCTTTTTTTTTCATGGAATTGTCTGGGTTGGAAGAGACCTTTCATATCATTGAGTCCAATCATCAACAAAACACTGCCAAACCCACCGCTAACCCATGTCCCTCAGTGCCATGTCTGCACAGCTTTTACATACCTCCAGGGATGGCAACTCCACCACAGCCCTGGACAGCCTCTTCCAAGGCTTGACAACCCTTCCAGGGAAGAAATTTTTCCTAATATCCAATCTGAACCTCCCCTGACACAACTTGAGGCCATTTCCTCTTGTCCTGTCACCTATTCCTTTGGAGAAGAGCCTCAGCCTCCTTTTCTCCAGGATCAACACCCCCAGCTCCCTCAGCTGCTCTTCATAAGACTTGTGCTCCAGACCCCTCACCAGCTCTGTTACCCTTCTCTGGACACGCTCTGGCCACTCAATGTCTTTCTTGTGCTCTGTTGCCCTTCTCTGGACACACTCTGGCCAGGCAATGTCTTTCTTGAAGTGCCTACTGGCAAGGCTTTAAAATCATTAGTTTCCAAGCAGATAGGACTTAGTACAACCTGAGTTGCACTGTAGGTGGAGGAGTTCTTCAAACTCAAGGTGACATTTGACATAATGAAAGGCTGGGCATGGATGGAAGTACAGAACAAGGTTCTGACCACCTCCCTCTGGTCCTCTTCTTTCTTACCCCATCTGAGGTTTGCCATTCAAGAGCACAGTCAGAAGACACTCACTACACATACAGCAAAGGCAAAGCAGTTGGATAAACCTACTGCCAACTCATCATGGGACATGCAGACTATTGCTTGGAGGTTGGAACAGGGCTTGCTAGTCTCTGACCTCGCTTCTTGCAGACTTCAGAGAAAACCATCTGCTGTTAACAGACAACCAGCTCTAGTTATTAGGGCATGGGGAAGGGGATGGATGCACCCTGCTGAACACAACCTGGGCCATAGCTCCATGTGCAGCACTGAGAGTGTCCTCCACCACCACTCTTCATCAACCTTCGTCGACCTTCTGCACCCTAAGATGCAAGCAGCATCTTAGAATCATAGAATGGTTATGGTTGGAAGACAGAAAACCATCTGCTGTTAACAGACAACCAGCTCTGGTTATTAGGGCATGGTGAAGGGGATGGATGCACCCTGCTGAACACAACCTGGGCCATAGCTCCATGTGCAGCACTGAGTGTCCTCCACCACCACTCTTCATCAACCTTCATCGACTTTCTGCACCCTAACATGCAAGCAGCAATCCAGAATCATAGAATAGTTATGGTTGGATCATCATCAGCTTTAAGATCATCAAGTCCAACTGTTAACCTCACATTGCAAAGTTACTGCTAAACCATGTCCCTCAGCACTCCGCCTACACATCTTCTCCCAGATAGGTTTATACCATACTGCAAGGAGTGTTTGCTGGCTCCAAGCAGGAACATGAAGGAAAGCAGAGGGCCAAGTCTCTGCTGGGAGTCTTGCTCCATGTAAGCTTTATGTAAGTTTTCTGGAAAACAGAAGGAATTTGCTGTTTAATTCTTTTAGAAGGCTATGGGGGGCACACAGGCCCGGAAATCCTGCGGGGAAAAAAATGTCCTATCAGGTTGTGTGATTTTCTGCCATCCAGAAAGCATCCAGAGCACAGGTTTTCACTTGGCTTCTTCTGGCCTTCATGGCTGGTACAAACTCAGTAGGACAGGAAAAAGCATTTATCATGCCCAGAACTTCATCCACCACCCACAGAGGCAATGTAGTTAAAAGTGTGATGCAAGTGAAGCTGGCATTTCAGGGGATTCCTTAAAGACAGAAATAACTGAAAATTAAGAGAACTAAAATAAAATACTTCTGTGTCATGACAGGTGTTTATCTCACCTATCAAACACCTAGTGCACACTCTTTGACTGGAAGAGGAACTCAAGCATGCTCCAAGCCTGCCAAATAGGTTCTGACAACCTAGACAGACAGTTTTTCTGGTCTGAATATCAGCAAAGAAGTTAGTTGGATGCCTTAAAAAAAAAATATAATTTACATTCGTAAGCCCAGTGCCTACACTCTAGGTTCTGACAACCTAGACAGACAGTTTTTTTGGTCTGAATATCAGCAAAGTTGTTAGTTGGATGCCTTAAAAAAAAATATATATATAGTTTACATTCGTAAGCCCAGTGCCTACACTGATGGGGCAGCCACAGTTTCTCTGGGCAACCTGGGCCAGGCTCTCACCACCCTCACAGCAAAGAAGTTCTTCCCAACATCTCACCTACATCTCCCCTCTTTCAGTTTAAAACCATTACCCCTCTATCTATCGCTCCACTCCCTCATCAAGAGTCCCTCAATCTCAATCAATCAGCAGAAAGAGATGGAGGTAGAACCATTCAACAGACCCAGGTACAGAAGCACCCAACCAAGAGACGCAGACCAGTATGACCAAACACCACAGGACAGCTTTATCCAAGCCCAGGGATATGCCCAAGCCAAGATGCTCCATCTTTAACCTGGACGCATCCAGAGACCTTGGAGAAGAAAAGACTACATGATTATGATTTCCAGGTCTACCCAGAGGCAGATGATAGGAATGTTTCATCACCTCACCCAGTCTCATGACGATCTGCAATGCAAGAGTGCTGTGCAGTCACGTAGGGTCACAGCACAGCTTGTTTGTTTGTTTTTGCAAATTGCCACATACTCAAGGCATCTTGCTGCAAGCTGAGTTTAACCACTGCTGGTGAGGTCCTGCAAAGGACACGAAGACTGAGCCTCAAGCTCTAAAGAAAAAAAATAATAAACAAAACAACAAAAAAAATTAAAAAAAAATCACAAACTACTGCTGCAGCTCAAGGGCCAAGCCTGGAGAGCAAAAAAACCAGCAGAACTAGCAGCCAGGAATATGCAACGGCACAAACCACCTTGAGCAAAGCAAGGATTGCCCTTTTGTTTGTGAGGCATCTAGAACATCTGGGGCGTGACTTGACTCCGGGTTCATCTGCTGATTTACCATCACAGTAACTTCATCCAGGAGGGGTGCCTCCAAGATATATTTGTCATGTATATTCTCTGGAGAGCAGCCTGAAGACCATCAGATCCAGTGCTATCCTTTACACGGGCAGAAGAGTCAGACAACACAGGACTAAATAATTACGACTACTCACCATCGGTGCTCCACGGTGACCTATAATGGCTGGCTTTGGTCCCAGAGCCTTCTTCTCCATGATGCAAGGGGACGAGATGGTGAGGGGGACGAGGTAAAGTGCAACTACAACTGCGAGGTATGCAGTGACCATCAGCATCTGAGAAGCTGAGAGGGAAAGAGGGAGAAAGAGCTGGTGAAAATGTTGGTCCCGACCTCCTCACACCACAGGAACAGAGCCAAGGCACCTTCATCTTCCTCCAAAGGAGAAGCTGGTCTACAGCCATTGCTCCAAGTGTTGAGGGGAAAAACATACTCTATGTTAAATAGCCCCTTTGAGCTAATCAAGTCCTGAGGAGGGTTTTCATTTAGTTTTGTATGGGGAAAACAAAATGTTAGGCAAATTGCTTAAAGTCCTAGCAACACAGCCCAAAACAGAGCTGATTTCCAGCCCTTTGGGTGGGACAGCACCAAATTTTGCCCTGCCTGGCAGCAGAAATAGATCACCAGTTACACACACCTGTAAATAATCCATGGCACCATGGGCATGAGTTTAATATCACTTGAGTTTACATTAGTGGTTCACCAACACCACCCACTTCAGCCAGAGTAAAGCCACTTTAGCTCTTTCTGCAGAAGGATTTGTGCCAGCCAGAACTGAGTTAACTTGCAATAAATGTTGTACTGATTACGTTGAACATGTTTAAATAAAACCATGGGTTGGGATGGTGCTACAGCAATATTTCAAGACCGGTGAATGCAGCCAAGGGGGTAGGGTTTGGGGCCAGATGAGCAGTCCTGCCCCCCACACCGTGGCTCAGCCCCCAACTACCAGTGACTTCTCACAAAGTCCAGACTATCTGGGAATCCTTCGAAGGTGTTGACAGCACAACAGAAACACCCCTTGCTCCCAAACAGACATGTATTCCTTATAAAGAACAACGGTCACCTTTAAGCTCCTGAGCTATTTGCAGCCACTTGAAACCCACAGATATTACCCCATAAGACTTCTTTTTTTTAATTATTATTTATTTTTCAAACTCATTAGGAGTTTGGAACTCAAGGGAGAACCTCCAAAAAACCCCTTTAAAACAAATATTTGACATGGACACAAGGTGGAGAAGGCTTTTTTTTTTTTTAGGGGAAAGACAGAACAGCCCAGCTCTGGTCCTGACCACAACTGATCTGGTTTCACACATAAATAAACTGCTTTTTGCTTCCAGCCTCTAATAGCCTCATTCAAACATGTTCCAACAAGCCAGAAAGAAACACTACTAACCTTGCCAGCTATTTTTTTCCTCTTCTCTGGAAGAGATGTCAATCACCCACAGAGCATTCAAGGAACTGAATGGCATCTTGCTAAGTCGGTTCATGCTGTGTCCTGCACCACAGAGATATGGTGCCCTGGAGTGGTGCGTTACCAGCATCAGAACCTCCAGATGGACACAGGATGCCATCCCGACCCAATTCTTGCTCACCCCAGGAATGCCACGCACCAACCAGGCTTTGAAAAATCAGCCTAATTGTCAGGAAAGTCTCAGGCTGGGCAAAGAATCTGGTCCCTTCCTTCCTAGTACTGCAGCTTCAGGATTAAGCAGCTCAGATCCACACTGAAGTCAAGCACCACGTGAAATGCGTGGGCTTCCAAATATTTGTTATCATTCGAGTGCACCCACAACGAAAAGATGCCCCAGCGGGGGTCACAGACTATGTTGTGGCTGCCCCATCCCTGGAGGGGTTCAAGGTCAGGTTGGACGGAGCTTTAAGCAACCTGGTCTGGTGGTAGGTGTCCCTGCCCAGGGCAGAAGTGTTGGAACTGGATGATCTTTAAGATCACTTCTAACCTAAACCATTGTATGACTGTATAAAACAGAGCTGAAGACCTCATCCAGACATGGATACGTGGGAAACTGAAATCACACACACAAAAAAAGACCCAAAATGAAATACATGTGTGAAAGACAAGCAAAGTACATACTGTCCAATTTGAAGTTGGATGGTCTGTATGGAAGAAGCTCTCCTGGTGACCACCCAAGCCAAGAAAGCAGGACAGATTAAGCCTCCCACTTTCTACAACATGACAACACCAACAATTTAGATGCAAGCCTTCCTCCTTCATCCCTACCCTGCTCTTAGTGACCACTCCAGCCTGGTTTGGTCTCCTGGAAGAGCAGGTTTCTCACACCACCATTTGCTACTCAACGCTTCCAGGGCTTCTTTGAGTCCAACATTTTCTATTTGACCTCAGAAGCAAGTTTTGAAAACAAGCTACTACCTTTTAAAACACTGTAGCTAAGAAACTGCTGTTCTCCAGGTTTGGAAAAAGTAGCACAGGGGGAACTTAAAAAAAAAAATAAATAAGAGGTATAAATCTGCTCAGTGAAAAAGCCAAAGCCAGTTGCTGAAGAATGTCATATGCCTCAAAAAAGACAAGAACAGATTGTTGCACCAATGACTGCAGCTGCACCAGTTATTTCCAAAAGATATTATTAGTGAGTGAAATCTTATTTTCCATTTACAAGCAACTGTAAATTCTCACAGAGATTTCAGTTCCTCTCTTCCATTTTTTAACACCACTGTGTCAAATATTTCTGTACCATAAAGTCTGTAAACTCCTTCAGGTAAAATACCTTTCACAAGTAAAATGACCCTGAAATAATTTTAAGATCCAGTGGTACAGAAGAGATGAATGCCTTTCCTTAAAAACAAACAAACAAAAAACCACAACCCAGGAGCAGGAAAAAAAATAAAAAAAAAAAGAAGAAAAACAGCTTCCTGGCTTATTAAAACAAACAAAAAAAGCCATTTTCAGGGAACTCAGCTGCAAGAGAAAAAGTGTAAGGAATTCAGGAGCAGCACATGCAGTCTCTGCTCTGGGCGTAACCACAAATCCTCCCTCAACTGGCAGCCTAATTACATGCTAGGACATATTTAAGAACCACCAGGTACAGCTTTATTGGCATATTTACAAATTAAAGCCGAGCAATTCTTTCTTTGAAAGGTCTCTCTGGATATCAAAATCTTTCCATCTTCAGACACCGTTTCCTCATTCTTAACTCCTACTTCTTGGAAGTCTTTCGCAAGTGCTGCCAAGTCCTCCAGGGCTTGTATTTTGCTGCAGGTTAAATACCAATTAAAATAATTTTCCTGGAGCTGGCACAAATGTCTGAGAACATCCATGGACGCCCTGAAGAAAAACACTTCTGAGGGCAAAGAAGGATCAAATTATCTCTCAGGAAAACCTGGAGGAACAGCTCAGGCTTGGGAGAGCCCCTGGCAACAAGGCGAGACAGGGAAGATGCACAAAAGAGATCGTTTCAGTGGTCAGGACCATCAACAAGAGCTGGGTTCAGCGTGTCCTTCACCACCATGGTTCCCTTAGATCTTTGACCATGTCTCAATGTGCATTTAAGGAAACAACTAACCATAAGGGGACCAGATCCCTACTGAACCTTCTGGGTGCTACTGCATCACAGTCAACAAGTCCTTGAAGGCTTTCAAAACCCAGATCCACCTAGAAATGCAGGTGAACAAGAGCCGAGGAGATGGGGGAAGGGAGAAGTACTTATAAGATCCAGAGAAGAACCCTTCACGTTAGCTGCAGAGGGTGCATTTATGCTTTCTAAAGCAGATTAATGAAAATCTGAATGCCTTTAGTCATTGCATTACTGAAAGCAGCCCTTTCACCTCCAACCCTGCTGCGCTTCTGCCCACAGCTGTGAGATCTGGATGCATCCCCAGACCAGATTCACCCACTCCAGTTTCAGCCAGGTTACTCCAGGAGAGCATCCACCTCCCCAGCGTGGCTGAGCTGGAGGCTGCTGAGCCCAGGGAAGGAACCAGCACTGCCTCCTGCCAGCTGGTTCCCACCAGGAGGGCCCAACGCCCCAACAGCCACCCACCAGCCCCTGACCACCCCACAAAGACACAAGGGGTACTCACTGGCTTTCTCCGTTCGTGCAAACTGCCCCGCTATCAACCACGACAGGGCCGTGACCGCTGCAAGAGCTCCTATGTGCAAGAAAGGGGCTGTGGCCTGCAGGACATGAGAACAGGAGAGAAAAAAATGAGGACAAACACCCCAGCACCTTGCAAATTCACTGATCTTACAGGCTCCATGGTGCACCAGACCACTCTGCTCCCCGTTGGATTTCACACCATTCCTACGTGAGGCTCCTGCGTCTGTTTTGGCCACCTCTTCTTCCAAAGCTTATCGTTGCCTTTGGCACTCAGGCCCCCCAGCACCTTGCAAATTCACTGATCTTACAGGCTCCATGGTGCACCAGACCACTCTGCTCCCCGTTGGATTTCACACCATTCCTACGTGAGGCTCCTGCGTCTGTTTTGGCCACCTCTTCTTCCAAAGCTTATCGTTGCCTTTGGCACTCATGAAGGCAAAGCAGGAAAGCTCTAAACCCCTTCTTGGGGAAGAATGCACCCAAACCCACAGATATTTGGAAAAAGTCTCCTTAGACACCATGCAAATTCAAGTAAGGATCTTGGTGCCACTAAGTTTTAAGTTTCTTGTACTCCAGTTGACTACAAGACATTGAGTCAGTAGCTCAAAGTCTGGATGGAGATTAGTGACGAGTGGTGTCACTCAGGGGTCTCCATTTGGACCAGTACTATCTACTATCTTCATCAATGGCATAAAAAGTGGGATCGAGGGCACCCACAGTGAGTTTGTAGATGATACCAAGCTGAGTGGTGCAACTAACATGCCTGAGGGGACGGATGCCATCCAGAGGGACCTGGGTTTGTCCCTCTGCTCTGAGGAGACGCCCCCCAGTGCTGCCTCCAGCTCTGGTGCCTCAGCACAGGAGAGACATGGACCTGTTGGAGTGGGGTTAGAGGAGGCCACAGAGATGCTGTGAGGGATGAAGCCCCTGTGCTGTGAGGACAGGCTGAGAGAGTTGGGGGGGGTTCAGCCTGGAGAAGGCTCCAAGGAGACCTTATTGCAGCCTTTCAGTACTTACGGGGGGCCTACAGGAAAGATAGGGAGGGAGTTTTTAGCAGAGCCTGTTGCAATAGGACAAGGGGTAATGGTTTTAAACAAAAATAAGGTAGATTCAGACATGATAAAAGGAAGAAATATTTTGCAACAAGGGCAGTGAGACACTGGCCCAGGTTGTCCAGAGAGGTGGTAGATGCCCCATCCCTGGAAACATTCCAGGTCTGGTTGCATGGGGCTCTGAGCAACTTGATGTAGGTGAAGATGTCCCTGGTCATGGCAGGAGGTTGGAATAGGTGGCCTTTAAAGGTCCCTTCCAACCCAAACTATTCTATGAACACCATGGACTGGGGTGGACCATAGCGTATCAAGAGAGAAAGTTTGAGATGGATCCTGAGTCATGCTTTTGTTCTCCAATTGCTTGCCTAATTTTTTTTAAAAACAAAAATAAAACCAAAAAAACCCAAACAAAATGAAGAAAAGGGAAGTACTTCTGAGAAATGTTAGTCACTCATGTGAATGCTATTTTTCCCCCTCCTGTATTTCTGTACAGAATAATCACCAGTAAAACCTCTCAAACCTTTCAGGGGCAAAATATTTTGGGACCTCTTTTTGAGGAAGAGGGAAAAAAAGAATAAAGAGCAGATCTATCAATAAATTAACAGTTTGTAACTATTTTTCTCTAAAACTTATTTAGCCCTGCAGCATACAACCAGTCTTTCTTAAAACAGGACTAGAGCACAGAAGTCACATTCTTTTCAGATATATATAAATTTATGTGTAATGTAAAAACAAACCCAGAGTACTCCTCCCATAGGACTGGGAAGAGCATGATGCTCCAGGCCTGGACACCAATGTCCAGAGCACTGTTAGCCAAACCAAGTGGAGGAATTGCCTTCTCTCCTCCAGCAACTCTGAGTCACACCCAGCTTCAGTATTTTCCACCTCTGACTCTGCAGCCAAGCCCTGGTTTGAGTTTAAAGGAAAGAGCCCAGGAGATGAAGACAAAGTGATATGGTGGCCTTGAGGACTCCATGGGAGTTTTGCTGCAAGTTTTCTCATTGCCAAGGCTTCCATTTTAGGAGTAGAAAGGCACAAAGTCCATGGCATGTAGATGCACTGGCCCCTTTGCCCACTTGGAGAAGCATCCTTGAAGACAACTTACTTGCAGTGAAATAAATACCATCTCCCACTCGTCGTCCCAAAGCTGTGCTATCGATGACATGGTCACCACGGTAGTTATCAAGGTTGTCACCAGGCCAATCTGCAACAAATATGAGAGTATTTACATACTGTATCCAATCATCATAGAACTTCTACAGACTGGGAAATGGAGAGAGAAGTTTTGTATGTAACAAATGGCCTAAAACAGCTAGCCTCAGGACCCACAAGGAAAGAGGTTGGGCTTGTTTGCCGTGCCAGCATAACCTCCCCTTTCCACCACTGAAGATACAACACTGGGCTAAATAGTCCCAGGAGCACACATCTCATGGATGATCTCTCACTTTCTTCACATGCTGGCCAATGGTACGGAAAGATCAAGTGATTCACCCTGCCACCACACTGGATCAGAAACAGCTTAAAACTGGGTTCTGCCAGGCTGTGGAGATGATCCCATATTCTTGGAAGAGGTTGCCCAAGGAAGCTGTTGAGGCCCCATCTCTGGAAGTATTCAAGACGAGGCTGGATGGAGGCTTCGAGCAACCTGGTTTAGTGGGAGGTGTCCCTGCCCATGGGAGGGGCCACTGGAACTGGATGATCTTTAAGGTTCCTTCAAACCCAAACCATTCTATGATTCTCCTGGCCCTGCTGCAAGAGCCTGTGATGCACCAGTGCTATGGGAGGTTGGTGGACTTTGCTCAACTTGACTCTCCAACGCTTCTGCTCAGGGATAAAAGACTTGAACACACCCAGACAATGAACATTGCATTTCTCAGTAAAGGCTGAACACATGTTCAAACAAGGCTGTCGTTCCCATCACTAAGCAATCATCTCTGAGATGGTTCAGCACAACATTGTGCATGAATGTGACCTCACCTGGGCCTGAAACGGCAACAACTGTGCAGTCGGCATCCAAGCCATGTTGACAGAGTGGTTATAACAGATATTGCCCCTTGAGAAGATGACAGTGGCTGAACTGAGATGGCAGAACAAGACCTAGTCCGTCAGCCGTTTCCCCCAGCCTCCCTCTTCCACTGCATGGAAGCACTTGGGAGTCTGAGTGGAGCAGTCAAAAAGAAAATGTCATCTCCATTTGGAAGGTAAAAAGTTCAAACCATCAAAAACTGGCCTAGAAATAACTCCAGCTGTAAACACCTAAAATCTGGGCTGTCTGTCAAAAATAGTTCACCATCCTCCGCCTCTCCTTCTGGTGCCTCAGTCTCTGCTGTATCGCACGCCTGCTGGATTAAAAGGATGCTGCTGCTCTGTGTCTCGATCTCATGTTCTGTCTAGATCTGAAATCCACGTGGGAGACTTGGGCAGAAAAGGCCAACAAATACGTAACAGTGAACTAATAATCTAGGATGCACAGGACACCTCTAGACTGATTTCAGATCTCCTTAATACTTTTGACAAGCAAATAGAAAACTCCACGTTCCCAAGGTTTACAGAAATCATTGCTGTACACAAGGACGTGATTTCTCATTCTAGTTAAAGTTTAGCCCTCGGTTCCCACCTGCTGTTCCTCTCCTAGGTGCTCACAGACAGACCTACCAACAGCACAAGAGGCATCCATAGGCAGCAGTGGCTTACCCTGAGCCTCTAACTTTTGGGAAACATGAACAAAGCACACGGGGCAGCAGAAAGGGTCAACTTGACCCAGGCTGAAGATGATTCCTGAGCCAAGAGGCTGCATCCAAACCAACTTCCAACCCCTACAAGCCCATTTCTGCACATTCAAGGAAGGACGGGATTTACTTGCTTATTTAAAAGACACCCCCCCAGTGACCTATAGTGGTAAACCACTATTTCAAGATATTTCCTCATTAAGGACTCTGAATTAATGACTCTGAGACATTAAGGACTCCAAAGCAAAGCATGTGGACAACTGCACTTTGCCATGGGGCCTTGCACACAGAAGTCATTCTGCTCAGACCTCCGCAGGTCAGACCTCTGGGCCACCAGCCAGAGTGTAACACCAGCACACAACCAGGATTGAAACTACTTCTCATCCATTTTATATCCCCCAAAAGCTGAACTTAAAATTCAGCAGGGACAGAAGACTCTGTCAACTAGATTTCTCCAGGACAGCCCTGATCCCCTCGATGTCACTGCCCGTGCAGCACAGAGGTGTCAAATGTATCTCCATTTCATCATTTCCTCCTCTGATCAGCTCTGATTTATGGCTTCTTATCCTCCCCCATCTATCTCCAATTTGGCTTATGATCCTCAGCTGTTTTTGCAGGACTACAGGAGAAAATCGGAAGGAATCCTGCTATTTGCATATACCAGCATTTTCTAAGTAATATATATTTGACAGTAATTCAGCAGAGAATATTAACTTCATCCAGTCTCTTATCTAAACCTCCTCAGAAAGCTGAGGGAGGTGTGGGGAAGGGAAGAGAGACAGAGTGACACATCTGAGCTGCGATGAAAGGTGGACTTTTTTGGAAGAAGGGAAGGAAGGGTGGGTTTCTGTAGGCAAGAACTAACTGATCTTCACCAACACATTCCTCTTCTGGACTTACTCATCCAAACCCACCAGCCACCTGGAGCGTGTCTGAAAAATACCATTTCCCCCGATGAAGAAACATATGTTAGACTCGAAAAACCAACAATTTATTTTCCAGCAGCAGTCAGACGGTCCCCACCCACTCTTTGCATTGCATCCCCTCCTCCCAAGGAAGCATAATTTCTATAGTTTCTAAGGAAAAAAAAAAAGAAAAAAAAGAGAGGGTGGGGAGGTTTGTCCTAAGGGGCAGTACATCTGTTCAGGCTCTGATCCTGCAAGACCTTGTCACCATCAGAACCATCAATTTCAGGAGAAGCTGTGTATTGGCAGATTCAGGACTGGTCCCTTAATTACCTATTAGCAGAATGCCAATTACAACTGAATCCTGGCAAGCTACTTTCTTTGGCACAGTCTCTCCCCACAGCTTGCTACATACCCTTCCTCTCCCCTTCTGTGCTCCAAACTCCAGATTACCATCTTCTCTTACATTTCATTGCATTTTTCTTTTCAAATTGCTTCACATACAAACCGGGACCTCCTTGGGTTCCACCAAGCCACAACCTGCACATTGCACACCCCACCTTTTAACACCTATATCTTCTCCCAAGGCTTTTTCTACAGTGGTTTCCTCCAAGGACATCCTGAAAAGCTTCACACCTGCTCAGCCACTCCTCCAGGGCTGAGCCCATCACAGAAGGGAGCACCAGAGAGGTTCATAATGGTTCACTAAGACAAGACCAAAGTCAAGCTGCTCTAATGACATGCTGCTTCTCAGTCTCCAGAAGTGCCACCCCCTCCACCCTGCTCCCTGCCACCAGGTACCCCAAAGCATTTCACCCACCATGGAGCAAAGTTATTGTCCCCAGGCTTGGACTGCCCCTACTGTGGAATTTGCTTGGCCCTCTGAAATGAGGACACATACACCACTACATGACATCTAAAGTTTATGCTCTTCCCAAAAACACCATGAAGACAGGTACCACATGCACCACCCTCTCCTTAGCCTCCTGTTTTATGGAGATCCTGCTCCTTTCCAAGCTGAGAAGAGCCATTTACCTTGTGAAGCCAGTGCAAGTTCATTTGCTGTCCCACAGCTATGTGACATAGTGCTAGTATCTGGGAAGGAAGAAATCAAGAGTCAGAAAATGACACATCACAACATCAAGTGTTTGCATGTACAGGAGCACCACATCACCACAAAAGTTAACCCAACAGGCCAAAGCAGAAATCAGGGCTAGGGATGGGTCCAGCAGATAACACCTGGCCCATCTGTACAGATAGATCCTCTCCAAAGCCGAGGATATGAAGGAAAAGACTATCCTCCAAGAAGCAGGGAGCTGGAGAACCTGGTCCATGGGTGCACAGCTCCTGGGACCTCAGGAAGCAAAGACTACACAGGGCCAGGTACTGGCGTGCTACCTCAATGGACACCACCTTGAAGGTCCCAGCACTCTGGGATGTGGGGAAACAACTTGTACACATGACTGGCAGAAACACCAAAGTGGGGTTGGGGCCATACTCAGGGAAACAAAAGCTGTATTTCTCCTTGGGTCATCTGCACCACCAGTATCAGGGTCTGTCTTTGCTCTCGATCACCTGAGGTCAAAGACCATGCGTTTTTCCACTTTCCATTTATTTTAGCCACTTAAAGCTAAGAGAGAGGGAGAGAGATGTCACTTCTGAAAGGAAAATTGCTCAAGTGACAGATGGACTGAGAAGTTCATACCCTTTTTAAAACAAATGCACAAAGCTTTAGGAAATGGCATTTTATTCCACTCACCAGTAACACTGTAATGTAGATAAATCCAGCAGCAGTTGTTACAAGGATTGGAATGGACCAGTCACTCCAATATCCCATTCGGTTATATAAAAACCTGAAAGATAAGCGTGAAGGACAGATTAAGAAGAGATTCCATGCCATAGCAACTTTGTTAGGATTAGACAAAACTTTAGAAAATGGGCCTTTCTGTTTCCACCATCCAGATGAGAGAGAGGTAGCAAAAAGAAAAAGTCACACGGAAACAAAATACAGTGTTTGTGCTTTGATCCCTCATGGGAAATTAATCCTGCAGTGAGGAATCAGACAATTATGTCAAACACAGGAACAAAGCCACTTCGGAAAAAAAAAAAAATAATCATACATGACCAGAACTTGAGTTTTCAGAAGAACATTCCACATAAACAAGGGGAAAGCATCGCCACATGTGGTGGTTGTTGCCTAAACAATAGATCCAATGCTGTCCCACGTGCATATAGACTCTCAAATACAATATAGAGATAGTATCAAGGACAGGGAACTAAAATCAATGTTGCTGTGCAGAGCTGTGCTATATACTTGAGGTATAAAGTCTTTGCAGAGGGATGAGCTGAAGGAACAAGTTGTTTTCCTGTACCTATCAGAGACTGTCTCTTATTCCAATGGACTGTAGTGAAGGTCCAATCTTGAGCGAAGACTGTCAGGAGTTGTGCTCAGAACTTCCCAAAACTGGGTTGGCTAGAGGAACCACATCCTTCTGACCTTCTCATCTTAAACTGACTGAAGGGTTCATCTGCCCAGCCTGAAGGATGCTTGAGGGGTGTTTTGGCTCAGTGGGTTCCCTCGTCCTGGTCCTTCTGTTTACTTTAAAGCTCTGAGATAGGCCATTTAATGGCTCTGCAATCCAAAGTCCTGGTCCTTCTGTTTACTTTAAAGCTCTAAGAAAGAGATAGGCCATTCAATGGCTCTGCAATCCAACCTTGGCAAGAGGCAGCAGCAATATCTTGATGATCAGAGCAGGGAGTGAAGCAAGGTTAGAGGAGGAGTGAGGTATAGATGACACCCTACAGGTATATCTCCAAAGCATGTACCTCCAACCCAGCTTCTTTGGTTCCTTCTAGGCCCATCACTCACCAGTGAAGTCTCCAGTTGATCTGCCTCCATGCAGAACAGTTGTCACCTCATCAAGGCTTAGCAGCACAAAAAGCATAGAAGCCAAATGTTCTTCCTATGGCCTAGTGGTCACAGAACTGCTCTAAGAACAGAGGAACCCACGTTCATTCCCTGCCTTAGCTTTTGGGATTGCAATATTCTTCCCCTACCACCTCTCCAACCAACAGGCAAAGAGGCAGGCTCCATCCTGCTGCTGAAACTCATTTTCTTCACTCCTCTCCCCTATTTATCCAGATATCCTTCCTACTCTCAGTTATCAGATTTTTGAACCCTGTATTTCAGAGGGCAACTGGGCTCAGCATCTGGCCTCTTCTCATCACTTTCATAAAGTCAACGGGCAACGAAAGCTTTAGGAACAGGAGCACCAGGCAAAGCAGACCATGATTCACAGCAGCACAGTAAAAGACACTGTCTCTTCTGCCTGGCAGTGGGTCTCAAATGTCAAATTTGCATTTAAACAGCAATACGCTTCCCAGAAAAACCATCCTGGAGTTGAATTCCGGAGTCATTAATGCGTATTGCAGCAAAGCCACAGCAACACACAAGATAGACTCAGTCCACTACCTTCCCTGGCCAGAAATTCAGATGAGGACCCAGGCCCCACCAGCTCCAGGAGAGAAGCAGGCAAATCCCAAAACCCTTCTTGCAACTTCTGACACTTCAAGCCTGACCTGGATTAAGACTTTTTCCAGTGGATTTTTAGAAAAAAACATAATTAGGTTGACTTGGCTTGGGGCTAACATCATCTCCATGCAAATCCTCTGGTACAGCAGGGATAAGATGGGTACAGGGTGAATAATCATCAGCCACAAATTCTGGTCTGGCAACTGCCCCATCTATTTCATCCAGGAGTAAAGCTCCAATGTAGGATCTGGAGAGCAAATTCTTAGGCTCAACAAACATGACCCACGTCCAGGTTGTGCTTAGAAAATATTCAAAAAGCCATAACAAAAGGGAACTGGAGGGATTCAGACATGCTGTTAGTAAAAAAAAAAAAAAAAAAAAGAGAAAAAGGAAGACAGCACTCCTCTGAAGCCTTTGCTAATGCCACCACCAAGAGCTTTCTTAGCTCAGCTTCAATACCTTTAAGTTTTTGCTCTGATGTCCTTTCAAGTGGCCCTCTGCTAGTGTCAGGTCTTCACTTGATGTGCAAATGACTATTTTAAAATGCTGTTTCCATGGTAGTTATGAACCAGACGAGCCTTCTCCACAACCAAGGAAGAAAAAAAATTTGCTACACAGACTTGCATTGATAGTCCTGCTCCAGAGGGAACGTAGCCAGGTTCACAAATTACAGTATCTCTCACATCCTTCATTAACCAACATTGAGCTTTCTGTTGCATTCCACAGCTTGCACACTGGGGATCTATAGTATAACGCAATTAAGTGTAGGCACCACAAAGAAATACCCAAAGCAATAGATTTTTAAAAATATTTCCTTAAATTTAAGAGGCACAAAGCCCTTTCATTGACAGGGACCTCATCACATATTCAGCCTCCCAGAAAAAGGTAAAAAGCCTGCAGCAATACATGCCAAGCTATAATTTTGCCTTGTCTTTCTAAAGCCCATTTCAATCCCAGAATAGTCCCTTAAGCCTTTACAAGTTTAAAGGCCAAATCACCACATTTACATCGGCAAACCCTATCGCTGCCACAATTTAATTAGGTCAGTTTGGTTTTACATAGATATGTGCATAGAATCATAGAACGGTCAAGGTTGGAAGGGACCTTTCAGATCGAGTCCAACCATCAACCTAACAGTGACAAAACCATCACTAACAAATCCACTGCTGGAGCCTGAAGAAGCTGCCTGAACCACAGGCAGGGTTTACTATGCTCATCTGTAGGTTTCTGGTACCTCTTAAGTCACCTCTGGCAGATGTTTGTACAAGTTTAAAGGCCAAATCACCACATTTACATCGGCAAACCCTATCGCTGCCACAATTTAATTAGGTCAGTTTGGTTTTACATAGATATGTGCATAGAATCATAGAACGGTCAAGGTTGGAAGGGACCTTTCAGATCGAGTCCAACCATCAACCTAACACTGGCAAAACCATCACTAACCATCCACTGCTGGAGCCTGAAGAAGCTGCCTGAACCACAGGCAGGGTTTACTGTGCTCATCTGTAGGTTTCTGGTACCTTTTAAGTCACCTCTGGCAGATGTTCAGCAGCATTTAGCAGAGCTCTGCACATCTGGGTTAAGAAATGAGGAATATTCCTAATGAATTCCATCTCCAAGTACCATTTTAGCCAAAAGAACACAGAAGACAGACTGCAACACATTGTTGTTTCAACTTAGAATAACGAGGCTTTTCATTAGCATGCTAATAACCTCACCAAGAAGGATCTGGGGTTATGGAGGACAAAGTTGAACAAGCCAACAGGGTATCTCCACTGATCAGTCAAACTACTGGGTAGCATGAAGAGAATTGTCCCCAGCAGACCATGAGAAGTTGCTTTCCCTTCAAGAAGGATCTGGGGTTATGGAGGACAAAGCTGAACAAGCCAACGGGGTATTTCCACTGTGAATAAGTCAAACTACTGGGTAGCATGAAGATAACTGTCCCCAGCAGACCAAGAGAAGTTGCTTTCCCTCCTGCTCAGCACTGGTGAGGTGGCACCAGCACCACAGTGCCCTGGTTTGGGCTTCTCAGTACAAGGAGGATGTGTAGGGGGTCCAAGGCAGAACTACCAAACCAAGATGGTGAGGAGGCACGTAGGGACCATAGCTTACTTGGAAAGCTTAAGGAAACTGGGCTTGTTAAGTCCCAAAGAGAAGAAGCTGTGAGATGATCTAATTGCTGCCCACAATGTCTGACAGTTATGAAGATGATGAAATCAAACCCTTCAAGAGTGACAGACACTGTCACAAGGGGAAATGGCCCTCAGAGGTTTGGGTTGAAAAATCTTCTCCTCCTCACAGAGAGCAGTGCAGTGCTGGAACAAGTCCCAGAGAGGAGGGATGTCTTCATCCTTGGGGTTTCAAGATCTCAGTCAACATAGTCTACTGCTGGCAATAGTCCTCCTTTGAGGGGCTGACTGGACAGATGCCTCCAGTCTTTCTTCTTCTGCTGTGGTGGGGCAGGTCAAAGATGTTCAGTGTAGTTGCCTGCATGTGACTTGAAGAAGGAGAGCTCACAAGGACGAGCTTCAGAGGTCAGGGGCGAGCACAGCAGCTCATCACCCTGATGTGACAGCTATTCTTTGTCCTAGTTCATCCAGGAAGCCCCTGCCAGTAGCTCAGTGTGTCAAGTCCTGTGGAGAGCTGGTGTTTGCCCCAAAGAGCTCTCCCTCTAGTCTGCAAGAGGTCATGGCTTCCAAATAAATCAGTGGAGCAGAGAGGAAGGCAACAGGAACAAGCACCAAAGAAACTCTGTCCACAATGTGAAGTAGTAATAGCCACTGAAGAACTGCAAAGATGGGGTTTCTAAGAGCAAGGACCCCACTGCATCTCATCAGAAACAGGCTCACAGCCCTCTTGGGACCAAAATGATGTTTTCATCTCCTTTAGACCCCGTCTGGCTGAAAACTGTTCTGTTTTAATGGGGCCCACACATCTGTGCTGGGAGGGAAGAGGGCCAGGCTCGGGTTGAACAGACCCAGTGGAAATTGTTTCCTCTCCGCCTGGAACCAGCGTGGCTGTAATTAAAACCTCGCCCCATGTTATCATCCCCCCTCCCTGCCTTTCCGCAGCATTTCAGGCTGTTTTTTCAGAAACCCTGCTGTTCTCCTCAACCTCTGGTGCCAGCGCGTGGAGCAGGGATATAATTGGGGTTACGGCACATACGAAGCACTGACCCATTTTCAGCGCTGAATGGCAAGGCTTGAGGAGATGTAGCCCTGCTACCTGGCATCCAGAGAGCATCTTCCATGACTCTTATCCACCAGAAGGCTTGCTTTTCCAGTGCCATCAGTCCAAAAGTGCTTCTAGACCCCTGTGAACACCAGATTCCACGGCAGGTGAAGGTGCTTTGGTCTGCAGGTGACATCTGTGGGCCTTCTAAAGCCCAAATACCTCTTGTATCCAGAGTAGACCTTCAGAGTCTCCTCCCGGCTTTGGTCTGCAGGTCACATCTGTGGGCATTCTAAAGCCCAAATACCTCTCGTATCCAGAGTAGACCTCCAGAGTCTCCTCCCATTCCTGCATGAACATTTGGAAACCCAAAACTTTGCAGTGCCATGGTCGCAATGCCCATTCACAATGTCCACAGGGCTTTGCTTCATCTCTGCATGAGGTGTATGAACATTTGGAAACCCAAAACTTTGCAGTCCTGTGGTTGCAATGCCCATTCACAACGTCCACAGGGCTTTGTTTCAACTCTGCATGAGGTGTTTTTTCTCCCAGCCCTTTCTCAACTTTGAGCTAAGCCAGATTTGGCTTTGCAGTGGAGCAAATGAGGCGCGTTCACATCCTTTACTGAAGGTCCGAATTGAAAGAAAGAGGAGTTCCAAAATACCCTTTTCTTAAAAAGTCTTTTTTTTCATGCTAGTATTATAAATAATGAAGAGTGATGGTTTCAGTTCTCAGACTATGGATCTGAGCAAAGAGAAATACTGCACTCCTGGGAGGAGACAGCTCACGCCATGAAGTTAGTAAACACTCTCTCTCACACAACTTCAACATCTAAAGCAGATGATTTATTTAAGGGATCAACTACCCCCTGGGTTTTAAAATGCAGTTTACATATTATCTTTGACAACAAGATGATGTCAAAGCAGTTTGGTTAGAAGATGTCCCAAGGTACTGTCAAAACCTTTTAAGATGCTGCTGAGATAGTAGAAGGGAGAATAATTTCCAGCACTGGGGGGAGCTGGCAACACCCTAAACTCCCCAGCACATCCCACTGGAAAGCTTGTTTTCAGCTCCTTCCAACTTTGCAACATTTTCCACACCCATGTCTGCTTCAAGACGAATTTTTTGTCATTTATATTTTGTGGAAAGTTGCAGCCAAGTTGCTCAGTCACTTCCAGAAACAGCCAACCATAGAAACAAACAAACAAACAAGAGCCTAAAAGCTTCTACATTACTTTAGCACCATCTTTGGTTTCACACGCTGTTCACCAGGGAGAACACCTACCCCAAACTCTGTTACGGCCACACAATGCAGACATGAGGACATTACATCTATCAGTGAAGACAGACAGAAGAAGCTCTCCTATCTCACTTCCCATCTCCCTTTCCCTTTACTGTCATTAACGAGTCCATCTGAAGGACCACAATGCCTCCAGCCCAATGTCAAACATTCTCAGAGGTATACGATGGCAGCCAAATTTGTTAAGGGTTTGACACCTTGTAAGAGAAAAACTCTACTCACCAGTTGATTTCATTGTAGTCATTGTGAACCTCCCACCAGAAGTAAAACCAGACCAGGGTCAGGAAGAAGGACGAGGTGAGGATGAGGAACCACAGGCGCTCCCACTGGAGACAGAAAGAGAAGTCAGCGTTAACACTACCCTGTTTCAGGGTCAGTGCCCCATCCTGTCCTACATCTCACCCAGAAGCTGGTAAGATCAGATGGGGGACATTTGGTGCCCCTGCCCACTGCAGGGATTTTGGAATTAGATGATCTTTAATGTCCCTTCCAACCCAAACCATGATTTCCGAGGGGAAGTTTCACACCTTTCTCCCCTGGGGGAGGTGGAAGATGCAACCCTGGTCCCCAACTCTGGGCAGAGGGGTCACTGATGTAGATCCATCCTGTACAGGGCTGGGACAGCATTCCTCCAGCTCCCAGGGTGTGTGGAACGAGGGAGCATTTCTGGATAGTTGGGGTTTGGGATTGGGTTTTTTTGGCTTGCATTTTTTTTTTGGCAGCAATTGTTTAATCAACTTTTCCACTCATATGTGAGAGATGCAACTTGACATCTTATCCTCTCATGGGTTCAGCCTAAACGACGGAGTAGTTACCCCACGGCAAAGGCTACACAGCAGTTTTGGGATGCTTGTTAGGGATGCTTCTGCTACACAGACACATGAACTCCTTCCCCCCCAGGCACTCAGATCCCACAGAGCCAAACCACCCATCCGCAACATTTATTCCCACCACCACCACATATGTAAACGTTTTGCAAATGATACGGCAGGAGGAGAGACCACAGGAGCATTGGATGAAAGATATTTGCACCAACGTTAGGTTTTGGTTAATCTTTCAATTAATACTCCACACCCCCAAAGAATTAAAGAAAAAAAAAAATGAAAATCCCTAAAACATCTGTTTGATGCCCCACTCCAATAGCATGGGTAAAATCCTTAACCACAAGGACATCCATGATGAGAACAGTGTTGCAGGAAAACTGTCCCTAACCAGCACCATTCCCATGTGCTCCTTGTTGCTCTTACTCTGCAGGCATTAAATAGTCCACATATGTTTCCATTTCAACCAGCATCCAGTCTGTTGGGAACAAAACACTGAAATAAATTCACTATGGAAAAATATGCAAATGAATCCTCTCTTCCCAGAATGAGCAAGAAGGGTTGAAAAATGAAAAAGTGTCTGAACAACTCTACTGCTGTAATTTCTTTCTAGACCCTGAGCACGCCATTAATCTCTTTTGAAAATGCCCTTTTCTCTAGTGAACTGTCTCATGGCTTTTCAATTATGCAAAACAATGTAACCAATATAAATACTGTTTTGGTGATAAAAGAAACACCACTGTTCTTCGCCTTCCTTTTCCATCTTAAGGGCTGAAGCTATTTACTTCACCACGCATCACCCTGGATACCAATCGTGTGATACAGCTCTCCCTTGTATGCTCCATCTCATAAAAAGTGCCAAAAGAAAGAGAAAGCAATAAAAAGGGCTGGAATTATTTAATTTTCACTGTGCCAAAAAATGATGTCTTCTGCTGGAAATTCCCAATTCTTGGCCACAGGTTGTGGTCAAAACTTTTCTTCAACTCGGCTCATGTTTGTTATCCAACTTCGATCAAACCTCAGTAGCTCCAGATGCCTAATTCCCACATGGGGCTTTCTATTCCATATAAATGGGGCAAAAGGAACCAGAAGGTTGTACAAAGGGACTTCTACAGAGCACCTGCCAAGTTCATTCAAAACCACACAGCCAAACTGCTCTGCCATGACCTTAGAGACTATCATCTCCCCACCTCGTGCACAGATCTGCACCTATATGTACAGGTGACCTCTTGGAGGGAAAGCACCGAGGGTGAAATTTGATTTTTTTCCCCCCAAACACCCCAGGATGCCAGTTGTAGCGTCTGCATCATCTCCACAGCCAACACCAGCCTTCCCCAGCCCAAAAAGCAGTAGCAAGGCTGCAACTTTCTTCTCTCAGCCTAGAGAAGACTCTGGGGAGACCTTATAGTGGCCTTCAAGAGGGCGTCAACAAGAAAGCTAGAGAGGGACTGTTTGCAAGGGCATGTAGCGACGGGACAAGGGGCAATGGTTTTAAACTAGAGGAGGGGAGGTTTAGATTAGACATTCAGAAGAAGTTCTTTACATTGATGGTGGCGAGACAGTGGAACAGGTTGCCCATAGAGGTGGTGGAGGCCCCATCCCTGGAGACATTCAAGGTCAGGCTTGATGAGGCTGTAAGAAATCTGATCTAGTTAAAGATGTCCCTGCTTACTGCAGGGGGTTTGGACTAGATGGCCTTTAAATGTCCGTTCCAACCCAACATATTCTATGATTCTATGAACTTCTCTCCATGATGAACCTCCACTGCTGCACAGCCAAGCCAACCCTTTCCAACCAAGAAACTTCAGATTAATATCCACCCATGCGACACCTGGATTATATAAACACCCAAACCAAAACCCACTCAACACCTTCACTCCATCCCACCGAAACTTCCCAGGAGAAAGCAATTGCAAACCCTTTCAGCAGGCTATGACTGTTTTCTCCTGGATGCCTTCCAGCTTGCAGATCTCCAAGCTTTCAAACCTCATTTTCCCTATTGCTTGCAGGTTTTTTCCTCTGCATTTGGGTCTAAAAACCTCCTTGCACTTATCAGTATCACTGCTGAATCAGTTAAACAAACAGGTTTTTGCAAGGCAAGTGAGGTATAAAGTATCTCAAGTGCTGAGGACCAACATTGCTACAAAAAAAAAATATCCTCCAGCTCTTTAAAGGTCATTATGGGATAAGCTTGCCCAGTATTCATGCACTGGATGACACTGATTTGATAAACAAGCCAAGGAAAACATTTCAGAACATGTTTGGCCTCTTTTTTTATATATATATTTTTCCCCCCCTCATTTCCATGCAAGCAGCATAGCTTGTGTCAAGCTCTCCAAAAGCTATATTTAGTCTGTCCTTGGTGGTGCACTTGCCAGATATATTTGCCTGGCTGATTTTGTGAAAACCCAGTCAAATTCTTCAAGGGCTGACATTCTTCATTGAGTTCAAGCACAATTCTGAGTGGTTTTCCAGAAGAACAGGGAACATCTTTCCAGCATCACTGATGCTGAACCAGAAGCTGAACCTACATGAATCTGACCTACGTGCACAATACATTGTCTTTAGTCCAGGTTCTGTCCAACCCCCCTCCATATATCCCCCATCAGAAGAGTTTGAGAGGCCCCTACTTTGCAAGCTCCTCACACGCTTTCAAGCAAGGTGAAATCTGCAACGTGCAACAGCTTCAAGCCCCTACTGCCAAAAATAAAGACTTAAAAATCACATCATCCTGATCACTCAATCACAGCCACAAGTAGGTGGAGGAAACGGTGCCACTTCACCTACAGAAACTCAGGCAGAACCACTAGAAAGTCTGAAAGCACTTGAAAAAGTGTTCACATTTTCTGCTTCATGAGATTTTTATAAGATTGTCAGCATTGACATTTCGGGCAGTTGTTCTAGAAAACCTTCCTTCCCCACCCTTCCCTTTTGGTTTCTCCCTCTTCCCATAATAAGATGGGCATGCTCACTAGTTCCCAGTTACACAAGACAGGCTTCACCCCAAGGAGCTCACACAGCACTCAGTATTGTCTGGCAAATGAACTCAAAGCACATCTGTATTAGCACCTTCATTCATATCAGGATACATCTGGGAAGTAGCTCACCCTTTTGTCCTCCTTTCTGTGTTGTGGTTCACATCCCTACAGGGCTTTGCGTGAAGCTAAACCAGAAGGCGTGCTCCAGGAGTGAACCCCACACACCTCAATGACCAACAGGCACTCAGTCCACAGGACCTGATTAGAGATAGACCTACGTGACCATACCACCACCTCCAAAATGCTTCTACCATGGATGTCAGGATTTCAGCATCAACTATCTCCTTCCACAAACCTCTTCTCTTGGGCCACGCTACTTCCTAGTGTAGATGTAGCCATAATGTCTTGCAGAATGGTACAAAACTGCATTAACCTCATTATGCCAGCATTTAATTAAGCAATAAATGAAGACTGACCTTTTTCCACCAGCTAAATGGCCAGAAAGGACATGTACCATGCACTCAGTTAACGCTCTCAAAAAGCCAACAGGTATGTGGATAAAGTCACGGAGCACACCCACTGAGATGGCCACAGCCCAAAGGAGGATGGAGGGAGTATCAACCACAATGAGAAAAGTGATTTTGAAGTGAGAATGTTTAAAAGGGTCAGGCACAGGCTGAAGATTTTGTGCTGCAGAAGCACTCTTAAAAGCAGGCATCTTACACGTACCACTGCCCTTGTGATCTCTGGTCTGTGGTGTGGCCAATTCTAGCAACAGAAATAAGATTTCTTACTCTAAGAGTATCTACGAACATAGTCAGAACAGCCCCAAAAGGAAACAAATGAAGACAGAGACATGTTGCCAAGCTGCAGTTTGTCACTGATATTTAATATTTTTTTATATCACAGAATCGTTAAAAAAACCCAAATAATTAAAAATAAATTTAAAAAAAAAAAAAAAAAAAAATCAGTGTTTCATCCACATTGTCCACCACTTCCCTGCATCTCCAATCCTCACCCTGTGTCAGGTGGGAGCATAACCAATGCCAAAGCAAGGAAAGATGGCAAAACAAAAACAAAAAAACCCACAAGTTAGTTGAAATTGCCACAGAAAGATCCTGCATTTTACCTGCTCTTGGCCTGCAGGTTTTAATCGAACTCGTTAAAAACAGCCCTGAACTTCACATCACAGAGCACAGAAGAGGTTTGCCAATTTGGGGGATTAGTTTTGGTCAATTGAAGTCTGCACCAACCTCTTTTGCTGCAACTCCCCAAGACAAGATGAAGGTCTCAGCGTTATTTACCACCTGGCACCGGTGGCCCAGGAAAGCAAAGAGGCTCAGGAAGATTATTTTCTTTCCTGTAAGATCTGTAGGAGATATTATGAAGTTCATCTACATACACACTCCCACCTATCCCTCCTACAGGGACTACTTCAATCGTATTAGAAGCGATGGGACTTCTCACCGATTTCCACATTTGAGCTGATTGCACACATGCTGGAAGACATCTCTTGGTGTGATACTA